TCACAACAATAGAAGAACACAGTCTGCTGAACATAATACTACACAAACATTAGATGTTGCCATGGTTTAATTACACATAGCATGTAAACATTCACAGTGCAGAGAGGAAAAAGTATGTGAGGCCCTAGCTTAATGACTTCTCCCAGAGCTAATTGGAGCCAGGAGTGAGCCAACCTTGACTCCAATCAGTGTGATGATATTGGATGTGTTGCTGACAGCTGTCCTGCCCTTAAAAAAACACACACCTGTTTTGGGTTTACTGGTTTCAAGAAGCACTGTCTGATGTGAACCATGCCTTGCAGAAAAGAGCTCTCAGAAGACCTACGATCAAGAATTGTTGACTTGCATGAAGCTGGAAAGGGTTACAAAAGTATCTCCAAAAGCCTTGATGTTCATGTGTCCACGGTAAGACAGACTGTCTACAAATGGAGAAAGTTTAGCACTGTTGCTACTCTCCCTAGGCGTGGTCGTCTTGTAAAAATGACTGCAAGAGCACAGCGCAGAATGCTGCATGAGGTAAAGAAGAACCCCAGAGTGTCAGCTAAAGACCTACAGAAATCTCTGGCACATGCTAACATTTTTGTTGACACATCTACAATAAGGAAAACATTAAACAAGAATGGAGTACATGGGAGGACACCACGGAGGAAACCAATGCTGTCCAAAAAGAATTTTGCAGCACGATTGAAGTTTGCAAAAGAGCACCTGGATGTTCCACAGCACTACTGGCAAAATATACTGTGGACAGACGAAACCAAGATTGAGTTGTTTGGGAAGAACACACAACACTATGTGTGGAGAAAAAAAGGCACAGCACACCAACATCAAAACCTCATCCCCACTATAAAACATGGCGGAGGGAGCATCATGGTTTGGGGCTGCTTTGCTGCCTCAGGGCCTGGACGGATTGTTGTCATTGATGGGACAATGAATTCCAGAGTTTATCAAGTCATTTTGCAGGAAAAACGTACGACCATCTGTCCGCCAACTGAAGCTCCGCGGAGGATGGGTGATGCAACAGGACAATGACCCAAAGCATACAAGTAATTCAACAAAACAATGGCTGCAACAGCACAGAATACGCCTTTTGGAGTGGCCCAGTCAGAGTCCTGACCTCAACCCGATTGAAATGCTGTGGCATGACCTTAAGAGAGCGATTCACACCAGACATTCCAAGAATATTTCTACACTGAAACAGTTTTGTGAAGAGGAGTGGTCCAAAATGACTCCAGATCATTGTGCAGGTCTGATCTGCAACTACAGGAAAAGTTTGGTTGAGGTTATTGCTGCAAAAGGAGGGTCAACCACTTATTAAGTCCAAAGGTTCACATACTTTTTCTTCCCTGCACTGTGAATGTTTACATGTTATGTGCAATTAAACCATGGCAACATCTAATGTTTGTGTAGTATTATGTTCAGCAGACTGTGTTCTTCTATTGTTGTGACTTAGATGACGTTCAGAGCACATTTTATGCCCAATTCATGCAAAACTCCACGTAATCCCAAGGGGTTCACATACTTTTTCTTGCAACTGTAAATGTTAGTATCCAGTTTATATTCTGTGTATATAGGAAAGAATCCAGGACTTTTTTGAAGCAATCCACTGAGCTGGCCAGAATCAACTCTTGAGGGAGTCTATTCCACATTTTCACACGTATTCTTTGCTTAAAAATTACTTTGAACCTCAAAACATTATATATATATTTTTAACAGAGACTCTAGAGAATATAATGGCAATCGCTGTAATTTTTTATGTCACACAGTATTTGCACAGAGGTTTTTCAAACGCAATAAAAATAAAACAAAAAACACTTGAATGAATTTTAATGCAAAAAAAAAAACCCACACTATATATAACCCATTTTTTTGGTAAAATAGAAAAGATGAAGCTATGCTCAGTAAATAGATACCTAACATGTTACACTTTAAAACTGCGCATGCTCGTGCAATAGCGACAAACTACGATACCTAAAAATCTCCACAGGCAACAATTTAAACATTTTTACAGGTGACCTGTTTAGAATTACAGAGGAGGTCTAGTACTAGAAATATTGCTCTCGCTGTAATGTTTGCGGCGATACCTCCCATGTGTGGTGCAAAACACCATTTACATATGCGTGTGCGTTCGCTTCTCTGCATGAGCATAGAGGGATGGGGAGCTTTCATTTTTTTTATTCTTATTTATTTTTATACTGTCCCTATTTATTTATCACTTTTTTCCTAATACAAGGAATGTACACATCCCGTAATAGAAATAAAGGATGATAGGTCTACTTTATGGCAAGATCTGCGGTCCACAGGACCTCCTCTACCTTTACCCTCCCTACCATAAATCTCTCCTCTACCTTTAAAAACAAAAGCTCAAAAAAACAAATGTTGATCTTTTGCTTAACCACTTGCCGACCGACCGCATAGCCGAATGACGGCTTCACCGCGGCCGGCCAGTTCTGAGTGGACGTCATATGACGTCCTCCCAGAACGCGCTCTCCTGCGCGCCCCAGGGGGCGCGCACCCGGCGATCTCCGTGATCGCTGTGTCCTACGGACACAGCTGATCACGAGATGTGGTGAAAGGCCGATCCCACCGGCCTTTTACCACGTGATCAGCGGTGTCCAATGACACGCTGATCACAGGAAAATGCAAGTGCCGGTTCTCGGCTGCACTTTCCTCACGCTGTCAGATCGTGAGGAAGGTACTGCCGAGAACCGGCAGTTGTCAGAGCGGGGATCGGCACCGATCATCAGGGCACTGATGATCAGTGCCCTGATGATCGGTGCCCAGCAGTGACCCCCGCAAGTTCCGATCAGCTGTGCGCCCACTAGCCCCGCCCACCCATTCCCAGCAGTGCCCCCACCTGTGCCCAGCAGTGCCCCCACCTGTGCCCAGCAGTGCCCCCACCTGTGCCACTCTGCAGTGCCACCTACCTGTGCCCAGCAGTGCCACATACATGTGCCCAGCAGTGCCGTCCACCTGTGCCCACCCACCTGTGCCCACCAGTGCCACCCACCTGTGCCCACCAGTGCCACCCACCTGTGCCCACCCACCAGTGCACCCACCTGTGCCCACCCACCAGTGCCACCCACCAGTGCTGCCAGTCAGTGCCACCAGTCAGTGCCCAGGGGTTGTGCCAGTCAGTGCCGCCAGTCAGTGCCCAGAAGTGATGCCAGTCAGTGCCGTCTATCAGTACCCATCATCAGTGTCACCTATCAGTGCCGCCTATCAGTGCTGCATATCAGTGCCGCCTATCCGTGACCCCTAATTAGTGCTGTCTATCAGTGCCGCCTATCCGTGCCACCTCATTAGTACTGCCTATCAGTGCCCTTTAGTGCTGCCTATCAGTGCCCATCAGTGCCGCCTATCAGTGCCCATCAGTGCCGCCTATCAGTGCCCATCAGTGCCGCCTCATCAACGCAAATCAGTGAAGGAGAAAAAATACCTGTTTGAAAAATTTTATAAAAGAAACAAATAAACTTTTTTTTTTTTTTTTTTAATTTTTTGCACTTTTTTTAATTTATAGCGCAAAAAGTAAAGCGCCCAGTGGCGATTAAATACCACCAAAAGAAAGCTCTATTTGTGAGAAAAAAATGATCAAAATTTCATATGGGGTACAATGTTGCATGACCGCGCAATTGTCAATCAAAGTGCGGCAGCGCTGAAAGCTGAAAATTGGCCTGGTAAGGAAGGGGGTATAAGTGCCTGGTAGGCAAGTGGTTAAAGCGGAGTTCCACCCAAAAGGGGAAGTTCCGCTATAAAGATTAGTCCCCCAATCCCCATTAAGGATTGGCACCTTTGGGGAGCGGGGGGTGGAACAGGCACCCGAATTTGACAGGTACCCGCTCCCACTTCTGCTGCGATCGGAAACAGAAGTTGTCCTCCTACCCTCCGCGAAGTCTTGTGGGACACGTGACAGGTCCCAGAACACGACGGGGCCATTCATGAAGCGAAGCGCTACTTGCGCATGCGCAGTGGGCACCCGGCTGTGAAGCAGCAAGCTATAGTTTTTGTAGCTGCTGACTTTTATTTTTTTACAGAGTGAGTGGAACTCTGCTTTAAAAAAAAAAAAAAAAAAAAAAAAAAAAGTTCACTTCTGCTCTAGATCGAAAGTGAAGTCACAACGTCGCTCCGGTCCTCCAAGATCATAGAAGTGATCAGAGGTGATTGATCTAGTCTCCGTTCACCTCTAAGGCCAGCCGCGTGAACCATCAGATCGTGTCCCGGACTCGCCAATAAAAGTGGTAAGCCCAAGAAACACCGGCGAGCTCGGGAATTGGGAAGTGACCCCTCCCGCTGCTTCTGAAAGTGAGCTTGGACTGCTTCCATGAGAAAGACAATTGCCGACTCATAAAAAAAGATACTGGGCTTATAGCTGATAGCTTCAGCCATAATCTCGGTAAACCGCTTGCAAGCGGCAACATATATATGCATATTGCGGTTGGTAAAGCACACACTGTACAGACATTGTTCACTGCTGTCACCATCAGGACCCCTCCCTTCCCAAGAAATACCGTGCAGCCATCACTGAAGTGCATGTAGACAGGAAATGGCTGCAAAGAAGCTGCAAGAGATCACAACACAGATGCAACAAAGGATGAAAATAGGTAAAGACAAGTATTTTGGTAAAAAAAAAACAAAAATGAAAAAAAAAAATAAATGGCATTTGTTTTGATACACAGATCATTAGCAAGCTAGATGTCATTCAATCCAGGTTTATGTCTACTTTAGAGCTTACTCCACACTAATAATATTGAAAATGACTTTTCAAACATTAACATGTTAAATCTTGGATATCATTTTAATGCTTGGGTTTACACCTATTTTAAAAAGCGACAGCAGACGTCAAACACATACCGTAAAATCTCTGTAGTCATAATAAGACACGACGCCCCTGTATAAAGTTGGACATCTCCTGTGATCAGGCCGACGTCTCCAAAAGTGATTTTGAAATCTCGAAACTTCTGATTGGACAAGGCCTTTATGGGGGAAGTATATATGGCTCTAGAAGATGAAATAAAAATTGGACAATGCACATTTACAATAAACAGCTTTTTTTTTACTATTAGTTATACTAAGGGATGAAAAGGACAAGGAGGATAAGTCAGTCAGCAGCCAAACCAACCATTACTAACACACGTGAACAGAAACTTGGATCAAACTCCTGAAAACACACACAAACAAAACACACTTGCATTCCAGTTAGTCCGCGTGTTCACTGAAAATGGTTACAATCAATTCAAAATACATTCTTAGATTTTTTTTTTTGTTTCGTCTGCAGGCTGAATGAAAGTAATCACAGTTTCCATGCTATACAGCACAGATGGAAGAATATCCTGCTGTGCTTACTGTATTGAAAACTTCTGTAGATCATTGGACTGTGTCCAGTCCCTCTATCAGAATACAATGCCCCAGGTTGCAGAAACAAAAAAGTAGAACAGGCTGCATGTTTTCTGCACAGAACTGTACTGGAACGCGGTAAAACGCAGCAAAAATGCACTGGAACGCACATGTCCCTATTTAGGGTCAGTTCACACTACAGAAACGCAGTCCAGATGCGTTCCGGATGAATTTCTGCATGTGTATTTTTGACACTTTCCGGTGCGTATTTGATGCGTTCCAGTGTGGATTTTATGCATTCCAGTTCATTTTTTGCCCCTCTTTTTCTTCAATTTAAATAGGGACATGTGCGGTCCAGTGCGTTTTTGAGGTGTTTTACCACACATTCCAGTACAGTTCTGTGCAGAAAAAATGCAGCATGTTCTACTTTATTTTATGCAGCCGTAACGCACTGGAACTGCAAGTACTGATGTGAACTATAATATACAAATATAAGGAGCGAAAAACATATAAATGCAGCAAAAACCATATAATGAATAAAATGGTGATAAATAAAATCTGTATAGAATGCAATATCACATGTCACCAATGGTGACCTCAAATAAATGTCCCAAGATGTATAAAGCCCACGTGAGGAGGCAGATGATAAGAGGTAAATAAATAGATTGCGCACTCACCAGAAGTGCGTAAATATTACGCCTTTGAGATATGCCTGTCTCACCAGGTATAAATCAGGTCATCTGCATCCTCGTAAAGGTCAGGATCCTGTACACCTTCTGGTCACGTCTAGTGACCAGAAGGTGTACAGTGTGCAGTGAAATCAGAGTAAGCATTCCAGTACAAGAGAGGAACCTGTAAAACTGTGCATGACTGAAGGACTTCCCACTGGGACAGGCAATTCTTTTCATCTCTCATCAGAACTGGTCTCTGACACAATGACAGATGCCACATCATGATCATCCTAAGGGACCCTTGCAAATGAACTTTGCTGCAACATTCATCTGGAGAGAGATAAAGAGCGATGGACATTGCGTGGCAGAAGTTTTGCAAGTAAAAGCTATTATTGGAAACAAGGTCCTTTTCCCTGGAAGGGATTGACTTCAGTAAAAGCCTCCATCCGCAGAACCTGCACCATGGGGGTCTTTTGAACGTGATACGCATCTGAGCACCCTATCCTAGACGTGACCAGAAGGTGTACAGGATCCTGACCTTTACGAGGATGCAGATGACCTGATTTATACCTGGTGAGATCGGCATATCTCAAAAGCGTAATATTTATGCACTTCTGGTGAGTGCGCAATCTATTTATTTACCTCTTATCATCTGCCACCTCGGATCAAGTCCTCCACGCACCTATTTAAGGATCACATCAGATCCTCACGTCAGCTTTATACATCTTGGGACATTTATTTATTAGAGGCCACCATTGGTGACATGTGATATTGCACTCTATACAGATTTTATCACCATTTTATTCATTATATGGTTTTTGCTTAGCGCTGCACCTTATATTTGTATGTCATTTGGAAGGTTTTGTTTGGTTGCCTTTTTGGTGTCCTAGCAGCTATCCCTCATTTTCAGATAGCGCTCGTATTAATCCTTTATATCTCACGGATGTGAACTATGACATTGACAACAATATAACCTACTTTCTGTGAGTTTTGTATGCAAAAAAAAAAAACAAACAAAGAAAATGCATGCAGTGCGAACTGGCATGTAGTGTGAAATTGAAAAAAAAAAAAAAAAAAGAGGGGAAAAAAAAAAAAAAAAAAAAAAGAGGGGAAAAAATTAACTGGAATACATAAAAAACGCACTGGAGTGTGTCAAAAACGCATCGTCACATGCAGGGGCAGACAGACAACTCATGAGGCCCCCGGACAATAGGTGATCATGGGGCCCCTGTGTCCTCGCCCACACTCAAACCACACCCAAAAAAGCCTATGAAAGGTACCAGGGGCATCTCATGGGGCCCCCTACTGACCCCGGGCCTCGGCAATGCCCGAGTTCTCGAATGGTCAGTCCGCCCCTGGTCACATGCCTGATGAAGGGACTCCGAAACGTTGCCTTGCTGTAAATATGTTATAGTTTATTAAAACTTTTGGACCCATATTGGTGATCCTCAGTGTGCCGGTGACATTCTCCCTTGCTGATTATGTTTGGTTCCAGCCGACGTTTGCTGCAGCACCCACTTATACACACAGCCATTTTTAACGCAGGAACGTGTGCGTTTGGATTGCACGCATTGAAAAACACATCAAAAACGCACTGGAATGCATCAAAACGCACCAAAAATGCGCTGGAACACACATGTCCCTAACTGAATCAAAGAAAAATAGAGGGGAAAAAATAAACAGGAATACATAAAAAACACACTGGAACGCGTCAAAAACGCATAAAAAATGCACTGGAACGTGTCAAAAACCCAAAAACAAGAAAATTTACATATTGAATCTTATCAATCCTTAGATGTGGTAGCTGCATTTTTTTCTACTTTACTTTCACCTGGTGATCCTGCCAGTAATACACTTCCTGTCCTAGGATGACAGTGCTCATTGTACTGTATCTATGGAGCAGCAGCATTGTCAACCTAGGACAGGAAATGTGTTAGGATTACCAAATACATCCCCCTCTCCTCACTTCCATAAGGGGGAGATGTTCTGTAGTTTACAAAGAGAACTGGGCAGGGCTGATTATGTTTGCAATTTCACTGCAAAGGAAATTAGGAGCTCACTAGATCCCCAGCAGGATCCACTGGTATTTTTCTGTACTTGCAAGAGATAAATATGGGGAAATGTGCATGGTGGAAAGATTTTTTTTTTTTTTTTGGCGCATTTATACACGTTAGGTAGATACACTCACCTGGTCATATGCTTTAGACACAGTGCTATGGCATATTCTGCTACCACAGTCTTCCCCGCAGACGTGTGAGCTGCGATGAAGACCGAAAAAACCGTCTTCAAGACACTGAATGGCTTTCTTCTGGAAGAGGTCCAGTTCAAATGGATGCTGCAGATACAAAAACTGGTGTGATATATCTGATATGTACAGCCAGGCAGAACCTCTAAAAGGAGAAGTGCACTTTTCATAACATGTTACACACATATTCAGGGTATAACATGTAACATGTTACCAATGCAGCAGTCCCAGTTGTAACAGCAGGCCAGGGATCTTCTCCCCGCACACGCTACCCCTATTTTTTTTTAAAATGCGGTTTTTTCGACTCGGCTTCGTCATTTAATCACAGAGTTCTGTGAATGGGAGAACTACTACATACCTCTGTGACCAAGACCCGGTTTCTGGACACTGGGCCCCATCATAACATGTTTTGGTATCCTCATGGACGATGCAAAACACGTCAGAGCGCATGGCCAGAACGGCAGCTCAGACCATTCCTCAACATGCTCAGTGTGGCTAAATGCTTGTGTAAATGGAGCCTTAAGCCTGGGTTCACTGATGCGCTCTGGAATTTGCAGAATTTTCTGTGCGAATTCTGCACTGCATCAGAATCGCACCCTGTTCATGCGAACCGCTGCGTGTGCATGTTAACAGCACCACAAAATCGGTCCGCAAAATGCAGTGATTGCAGAATCGGCTCGCATGGGTGTGAATACCCATGCGATTCAATTCTAGTGCGGACCAAAAAAAAGGTCCTGCACCTTTTTGGTGTGGGTGCGGGGCGATAAGAGGCATACAAGATGTATGGCTCCAATCACACTGCACACAAATCGCATGTGATTTGCACAGGAATGCGGTGCGGTTCCTGTGCGAATCACATGCGATGTAGTGCACCGCATATATGTGAACCCAGGCTGAAGATTGATTTAAAAGGCCAGTTTAGGTGCCAGAACACTAGGTGCACTTTAAGGCATAGTCTTGTCAACTCAAACCCTTCCATGTGCTTAGGCACAGAATTGCCCAGATTTTGACTATGCCTTCATATTACTGATACATATAAATGATTTCTCTCTCACCCTAAAGGCTAGGTCTGGAATACGTTTGTAGAAATCATCCACGGGGGTGAGGCTGCTCAGTGGAATGGCCCATTGTTCCTGAGTGGATTGTGGCAGAGGCGAGGCTGGGGGAGGGGGTGCAGGAGCAGAAGACACCGTCTGAAGGACAAAGAAAGAAAATCAAATTATTATTACCTATATATTGATCAAGAACACTGAATCATTCATATATCAATCACTGACACAATTTTGGAGTTTCAAACCAGATCAAAGTTGATTAACCAACCAGTGCACACTGACTGCAGGCTTCTTAATAATCACACAAAATCCCAGAATTCCCCTAGTACTAATTATTGTGGCTCCATCTTTCACTTGAATACATTTGTAAATTCACTGCAAGTAATTCACAATAGATAATCACATACAATTGAACAATGGGTATCAATGTTCTTGAAATAGAGGGTCCTCAAGTGCAGCCCCTGACATCACTAAAGAGCCGAATTTAATATTCAGTGGAGGTATTGCTAGGAAAACTGTTAGAGACTGCAGACATTTAATGGGAAATGGCCAGAGAATATAAAAATGCAACAAAAGATGGTAGTAGATGCTATAGGAGTTGTTGAAGACTGGCCACATGCTTTAGGAGACAGTCATAAACTGGAGGCACATTATATGAGACTGCTAGAGATCTTATTCAATGGTGGTAAAGATTCTTGAGAAAGGGGGCCTCAAGTGCAACCCTGACTTCACCAAAGGGGCTGCACGTAATATTCAGTAATTGTAATGCTACGGGAAAATGTCTGACATTGCAGACATGAAAAAAAGAGATGGTCAGAGACAATAGACATCCTAGAAGAGATGCTCAGAGACTACAGACATCCTAGAAGAGATGGTCAGAGACTACTTGTGTTGCCTGACATCCTAGAAGAGATAGTGAGAGACTACAGACATCCTAGAAGAGATGGTGAGAGACTACAGACATCCTAGAAGAGATGGTGAGAGACTACAGACATCCTAGGAGAGATGGTGAGAGACTACAGACATCCTAGAAGAGAGATGGTGAGAGACTACAGACATCCTAGAAGAGATGGTGAGAGACTACAGACATCCTAGAAGAGATGGTGAGAGACTACAGACATCCTAGAAGAGATGGTGAGAGACTACAGACATCCTAGAAGAGATGGTGAGAGACTACAGACATCCTAGAAGAGATGGTGAGAGACTACAGACATCCTAGAAGAGATGGTGAGAGACTACAGACATCCTAGAAGAGATGGTGAGAGACTACAGACATCCTAGAAGAGATGGTGAGAGACTACAGACATCCTAGAAGAGATGGTGAGAGACTACAGACATCCTAGAAGAGATGGTGAGAGACTACAGGCATCCTAGAAGAGATGCTCAGAGACTATAGGCATCCTAGAAGAGATGCTCAGAGACTATAGACATCCTAGAAGAGATGGTCAGAGACTATAGACATCCTAGAAGAGATGGTCAGGGTGAGGACTATAGACATCCTAGATCCTAGAGTGGATGATGGTCAGAGACTATAGACATCCTAGAAGAGATGCTCAGAGACTACAGACATCCTAGAAGAGATGGTCAGAGACTACAGACATCCTAGAAGAGATAGTGAGAGACTATAGACATCCTAGAAGAGATGCTCAGAGACTATAGACATCCTAGAAGAGATGCTCAGAGACTACAGACATCCTAGAAGAGATGCTTCTTAATAAGACTACAGACATCCTAGAAGAGATGGTCAGAGACTACAGACATCCTAGAAGAGATGGTGAGAGACTACAGACATCCTAGAAGAGAGATGGTCAGAGACTACAGACATCCTAGAAGAGATAGTGAGAGACTATAGACATCCTAGAAGAGATGCTCAGAGACTATAGACATCCTAGAAGAGATGCTCAGAGACTACAGACATCCTAGAAGAGATGGTCAGAGACTACAGACATCCTAGAAGAGATGGTGAGAGACTACAGACATCCTAGAAGAGATGGTGAGAGACTACAGACATCCTAGAAGAGATGGTGAGAGACTACAGACATCCTAGAAGAGATGTTGAGAGACTACAGACATCCTAGAAGAGATGGTGAGAGACTACAGACATCCTAGAAGAGATGGTGAGAGACTACAGACATCCTAGAAGAGATGGTGAGAGAGACTACAGACATCCTAGAAGAGATGTTGAGAGACTACAGACATCCTAGAAGAGATGGTGAGAGACTACAGACATCCTAGAAGAGATGGTGAGAGACTACAGACATCCTAGAAGAGATGGTCAGAGACTACAGGCATCCTAGAAGAGATGCTCAGAGACTATAGACATCCTAGAAGAGATGCTCAGAGACTATAGACATCCTAGAAGAGATGCTCTCAGAGACTATAGACATCCTAGAAGAGATGGTCAGAGACTATAGACATCCTAGAAGAGATGGTCAGAGACTATAGACATCCTAGAAGAGATGGTCAGAGACTACAGACATCCTAGAAGAGATGGTGAGAGACTACAGACATCCTAGAAGAGATGGTGAGAGACTACAGACATCCTAGAAGAGATGGTGAGAGACTACAGACATCCTAGAAGAGATGGTGAGAGACTACAGACATCCTAGAAGAGATGGTGAGAGACTACAGACATCCTAGAAGAGATGGTCAGAGACTACAGGCATCCTAGAAGAGATGCTCAGAGACTACAGACATCCTAGAAGAGATGCTCAGAGACTATAGACATCCTAGAAGAGATGGTCAGAGACTATAGACATCCTAGAAGAGATGGTCAGAGACTATAGACATCCTAGAAGAGATGGTCAGAGACTACAGACATCCTAGAAAAGATGGTCAGAGACTACAGACATCCTAGAAGAGATGGTCAGAGACTATAGACATCCTAGAAGAGATGGTCAGAGACTACAGACATCCTAGAAGAGATGGTCAGAGATGCAATAAGAGTTGTTGGAGACTGGTGACATGCTTTAGGAGACACATTACCTAGGACTGCTAAGGATCTCTATTCAGTAGTGGTAAACTTTCTTAAGAAAGGGGACCTCAGGTGGGACCCTGACTTCACCGCATAATATTCAGTAAATGTAATGCTACTGTAAACTGGCAGAGACTGCAGACTTAAACCAGGAGATGGTCAGAGACTACAGGTATGCTACAAGAGATGGTCAGAGATGCTATAAGAGTTGATGGAGATTGGCGACATGCTTTACGAGACAGTCACAGACTTTACATGAGACTGCTAGAGATCTCTGTTATTAAAGTGATTGTAAAGGAATAATGGGGGAAAAAAAACTCCAAACATCTCTATACTCATCTGGAATTGCAGAGTGGCCCCTAACCTCCACTTCTCAGGTCCCCCCCCCCCTTGCCCGGCACTCCTGGCTCCTCCTCTCTCTCTCCAGTGCTCCCATGGGAAGCCACTTCCTATGGGGCACTTGTGCATGCTCACTCCCGAGCCTTGAGACTCCCCATTTCCTGGTCACTGGCTTTGATTGACAGCAGTGGGAGCCAATGGCTCCCGTTGTCCCAGCAAAGCCAGTGGGACACAGAAGTGAGAGGAGAAAAGAACTGCAGACATGCACGGAGCTGGATCTGAGGGACCAAAACCGATTCTTAAAAATGTTTTACCTTAATGAAAGGAATGCATTAAGATAAAAATGTTTAGAACCACTTTAAAGCCCTCTTTACAAACCAAGGCTTTCATATTTTTGCTCCATACAGCCTCATAAAAATGAGGAGAGGGATGGGATGGCAGCACAGCACAAGTAAGATAGTGTAAAAAATTAACCAAAACATTTAACAACTAGAACTCGACCTAACAAAAATGTTTCTTCACTGGCCCAAGTAAGAACCTAGCTAGTAAAACACAGACTCCTATCTGTAGGGGCCCTGAGGGCCACATGCAGTCCTTAGACCACAGGTTGGGTAACAGGGCAATAGAAGCTCTGTTCAAAACTCAAGTCTGTGTTGTTCCTCTGGACCTTGGTACCGGGTCACAAACAGGCTTCATTAAGACCCCACATGGCAACCTCAGCATGGAAGGATATTGAAGCCAAATTTTGAAAGCCATCAGTAAAAAAACTATATTTCAGCTGGAGTTCAAAACATGACTTGCTGGGGCTCCTCTCTTTGATGAGTTTCAGTCTCACACACAGCTTACTCCTAGTACCTTCTATGATTTAAGTGACACTAAGCTCTGGTTTAAAAAATTCAGGTATGTATTCCTAAAGTGGTACTCCACTTCCCCCACTTCTCCCCCCTATGATTTTTTTTTCCCTCACTCACCTGTAGTGCTCTTCATAGCACATACTCACCCACACAGAAAATCCAGTGTTGTCCCACTGTGATGCACTGTTCCAGTGCCGCGCAACAGGTCCTTCACTGCCGCAAAGTCCTACAGATACCTGTTGATCCTACCAGTAAGATCCACCTACTGTAGCTGCCAGTGATGGGGGGTGGCAACAAGGCTGCACTGCTCCTGAATTCAGAGCAGAGTTACCACTTTATTGTAGTCAGGGCCGGGGATAAGGGGGGTACCACCAGGCCTCCTGTACTCGGCCCAGGCCTGCAGGGGAGGCCCAGGCAGCTGGGTTAATCGGATGTGGGCAGGAAGAGTGAACGGAGCAATTACAGAAACCAATCCCCTGTATGGCCCTCCCTGCAGCAGCTGAAAGCTGGGTTCTTCTCCTCCCCCCTGGCTGGCTTTCAGCTGCAGCAGAGAGAAACATACAGAGGATCGGTTCCAGTAATTTACCAGCCCCTTTCATTCATGAATTAACACAATGAGTGATCGGTACTGATCACTCACTGTGTTCATTCATACCTGAAGCATGGTAAACTGTGTTTTTTTTTTTTTTTTTTTGGGTGGGGATGTGGGGACCTTGTTAGGTTGGCTGTATGGGGCCCTGTGGTTTGGAGGGGGGGGCTGTCAGGTTGGCTGTAAGGGGCCCTGTGGTTTCTAACAGCAGCCCTGATTGTAGGCTATGCCCGCTTGCACTACAGGCGTGAATATCAGCAGCCTGTAGCTTGCCAATCAGCACCTGGCCACACATAGACTTGCCCACTGCTTTCTCGATTGGCAGCTTTGCCATTGTGAGCTGCAGTGTCTGGAAGGGGGAGCATGTGAGCTGCAAATGAAGGAGGATTTGAGTCTGTCAGGGTAGGTAAAGATTTTTTTTTTTAATGAAACATGTCTATTACATAGAAACTGGATAACGTACTTGTTTAGTAATATGGGGATCTTTTAGTTGTACTTTAAAGTTTGCTCAGTCTTTCACAAAATGTCTAATACAAATGTTTTTAGGTAAGCCCTAGAATAGGATTTAGTTATATATTATGCATTATGACTTCCACACAATGCAAAACTATAGGAGGAGGTCAAGGTAAGCTACAACCAATAGGAATGAATCAGAATCCATGCTTAAGTAACCAGAAGTCAGTGAGATAGGAAGTGATTGGTGGTTTTATGATACTGCCATGGATGCCATCCTCCCTGCCCTTTGGACTGCATCTAAATAATCCTGAAGGTGTGTTTCCATAGATTCACCCCTATACGTTCCCACTGCTCCCAACTGACCTCTACACCCAGCTCTTCCAGGCTATTCGTCCTGTGAAGTCCCTCTGTCTTGTCTGCCTTGGGTTTCTGTTTTATTTTGGCTTCATCTTCATCCTCACTGGAGTCTGCCAGCGTGAAATCTTCTAG